CAGGGAAGTGCCAGGCCTGCCAGGGGCGCAGCTTGGGGCTTTCTCCAGGACTGACAGAAAGGGGTGAAAGACCAGCCACCTCCTTTCCTTTGAAGGCTCTTGGGATCCCAGTGGGCTCCTTAGCGCCTGGTCTCCCACCTCCCTCGAGGGCACTGAACACATGGGACTGAGGTCATCTCAGGAGTGAAGACAGTTCACATGGACAAGGTACACAGCCTCTATAGAACAGATTCGAAGCAAGCCTAACGAGGCAACTGGGGATATCCAGAGAAGCTGCACCAGAGCCGAGCCTGGATGCAAGGCCGAGATGAGAAAGAAGTGTGACCCAGGCGTGGGGACAACCTGGGCAAAGGCCTGGAGGTAGGCAATGCACAGTCAGGTCCTGAAGACAACTGGTGAGACCATTGAGTTAGAGTCTAGCCTCATGAGGCAGAACCACCCAGGAAAGATGGGCTGGAGCCAGAAAGTGAGAGGCCAAATGTCCAGTGGACAAGGTGGAGTGGTGGGCAGGGCACCCCAGGCCAGTGAGAGCCTAGACACGGACCAGCTGCATAGACAGGTCCCTTGACCTCTCTATCTGCCTCAGCTTCCTCATCTGTAAAATGGGGGCAATGGCCCCATCCTCCCAGGCCAGGGGCTCATTTGTTCTTAAGGTGTCCAGCACTGGCCTGGGCCCCAGGCCCCCAGGCCGGAAGGGAGCAGGAAGCCCACTTTCTTTTCAAGCAGCTGCTTGGCCCTGCTGGCTTTGGTCAGAGGCACTCCGTGCCCCCGTACCCCCCTCTCCGCAGCAGTCTTGGCAATGAGCCTTGCCCGGAGGCAGCTCCGACGGTGATGTGAGCAGTTAGCCCTGTTCCACCCCCGCTTCTATCAAGGAGCCCTGCTGTGTTTGGAGAGGCCTTTTCCCAAGGAGGCTCGATTCCTTGGACTGGGTCACCTAATTAGCCCTCCCACTCCCCTTGTTGGGAGGGGTTATTAGTCTCATTTTACAGGTGAAGGAAACTGAGGCCTGGAGCAACTGAGTCACAGGGAAGGGCCCAGTAGTCTATGGGGCCAGTAACTTCCCCTTCCCAATGCTGGTGGAGTCCTCAGGCATGAGCTGGACGGGTGGCTCTACCCTAACCCCACCCCTACTTCCGCGGAAAGATCCTCTCCCCCAGTTCCTGTCTGGTACAAGGGATGGAAGGGACAGAGCAGACCTGGAGAGAAGAACAACTTTGTGCCTCCCTAGCTGGGCCAAGGCCTGCCACTGAGCTAGCCCCACAACCCTCTGACTCAGCTGCCCGAGGGAGAAAGGGCAGAGCAAGGCTTCCAGCTGCCCCCGGGGCCACTTCCCTGGAACCCCTGGGGTTCGGTGCTGAGCCCCATTCTAGGCTTGAGGGGGGGGAATTTGAGACCTGGAGAAGCCCCAGGCCAGGCTGGGCAGGAGCACCAAGAGAGCCAAGTGAACCAAAGGGAGGAGATGCTGAGACAGACAGAACATGGCTCCTGGTCAGGTGCATGAGCCCAGAACAAGCATCGTGGGCTGGGGCCATCAAGGAAGTCTTCCTGGACTGAGGTCATAGTTTCACTGTGCCCTGGCTCATCGGGGAAGCCTCAGCTACACAGACACACACAGACACAGACATGTAGACATGGACAGACAGACAGACACACAGACACAGACACAGACACGCAGACACATAGACACACAGACACACAGATTCACACACAGACTCACAGACACACACACACACACATAGACACAGACACAGACTCACAGACACAGACACACACACACACACACATAGACACAGACAGAGAGACACACAGACTCACAGACACACACACACACACATAGACACACAGATTCACACAGAGACTTACAGACACACACACACACATAGACACAGACAGACAGACACACACACGTAGACACAGACAGACAGACACACACACACACAGGCCTGCCCAAACACCCAGGAGCCCAGAGCAGCCTCTGAGGGCCTCAGGATAAAGGGAGCGTGGACAGACAGTGTCCTGGCCTTGGCCTGGAGGGCAGCAGGCCCCAGCACTGACACCTCCCAAGCCCAAAGGGGGCTTCCAGAGGCCCTAGAAATCGGCTAAAGTCCAAAGTAGGGAGCCAAGGTCAGGCAGGAAGGGAGGAAGCTGTTTCCATTCATTGTTACTTCTCCTTCCTCCTGCAAGCTCTCCAGGCAAGCTCACAGCCCAGGGCGGGGGGGGGGGGGGGGGGGGGGGGTGTCCTTGCTAGTCTCTTCCCCAAGTCTGGCTCTCCTATCACCTGGCCTGGCTTGCAAGTTACCCTGGCTGGTATCCCTGTGTTGGAGAGCTGGCTGGGGCCCTCAGGGCTGGGGACCAGCAAAGGGAGAGTTTTTCTTCCAAAGCTGAGTCTGACTGAGCAGCCCCACCAGCTGAGAAGGGATGGGGTGAAGCTTATGGGTTGAGGCCTTCAGGGGAGCTCCCAGGACGCTCCTGCTAGGCCCAGCTTTTGAGGATGGATGGGTAGGGAGCATTAGGGAGTCATTTATGCAGAGACTTCTGGGCCTGCCTTCTTCTCTGCTGCTCGGTTACCTTCTCCTCTCACTGGCTCCCAAGAGGCAGGGCAATGCCCCGGGGGCACACACTGGAGTGCCCACATCTCCCTCTTGTGCCAAGTGTCAAGCACGCCTCCCACAGCCCCTCCCTGTGCCCCAGGCAGGGTCTCCCCCTGCCCCCAGGGCCTGGCTGTCATTACTTCCAGGGTGCTTGGAGCCTTTGGCTGAATGTGAAATCCTTCTCTGCCCCTGCTCCCCTTCTAGCCCTTCTGCCCTCCTGCCCTTCCCGGAGGCAGGCTTGAACAGCTCTGGACCAAGTCGGGCCAGGGCTGAGACTACATGATCCTTTCACACTTCTCTCCTGCCAGGTCTGGCTTCTCCCAATTAGAAGGCCTGCACTAATTGGTCCCTGCTTGACAGGATTCAATTAAGAGTCTCCCAGGGACTGAGTGTAAGAGGCAGATACCAGGTGGAGGCGGGGCACCTGCTCTGGCCCTACTGCCAGCGGGCCCTCCTCAGCAAAGGTGAGAGGCCCCTTCATACGAGTGGGCTTCTGGCCACAGCACTCTGGGATGAAAGAGGAGGTGTGCCACCTGGCTGCAGTCCTGCTTGGCTATTCCACGCCCTCTCCTCCACCCATTCTAGCTCTCAAGTGAGAGTTGCCTGCTTGGCCCCCCGAGCCAGTCTCTTAGCATGGGTCCAAGAACAACCCTAGCTTCAGAAAGGGCCCTTGAGAGGGTGGCTCAGCCTCCTGCCTGGGGGGAGGGGACTGCATGTCAAACTGGCCCCCAAATTCAGCAGGCTCCACTCCTCTAGGACACTGGGAGGGACGTTAGGGGTTAGGCAGCCCCCCCCCCATAGACCCAGAGACTCAGGCCCAAAGAGGTCAGGGACACAACCAAAGTCACGGAGGTACCAAAGGATATCGGTCTGTCTGTGTCCAGGGGGAGAGGGTGGGCCTTGCCAGCCTCCGGCATTTCAGCCTCTCCCCTACCCCAGTCTTCCTGAGTTCTTAAGACAACCCTGAACTCTCTCAGTGCCCCCTCCGACATGAGCGCGCCTGCGCGTGCACACACACACACACACACACACACACACACACACACACACACACACCACCCCGAGCAGCACGACAGGAATGTGGTTCTTCCCGAGTGTGCCAGGCAGACAGAAGGGCACAAAGTCCAGCTCTCCTCTGGAAGCCCTGGCCCAGCCCGAGCCGCCTAGCACCTGCCCCTCCAGGCTCCGCTGCGGCGGCTGCAGCGGCTGGGGGCGGCCCAATCCCGGCCTCAGCCAGGTCTCCCGGCCTCCAGCCCCGGCTGCCCAGCCAAGGCCCACTCTCCTGGCCGCCACTGCGGCTCATTTACCAAGTGGAAGCAGAACAGGGGTCAGACAGGGAGCCATCACTGCCCCCAGCCCAGCCCAGCTCAGTCCCAGTAGCTCTGCTGGCGCCTCATCGATCCCAGCCCAACCAAGAGACAGACTCGGTCAAGCGCCCTGCCTGTGCGGAGCTGGAAATCAAAAGGGCCCCCCCCCCCCCATCAGCCTCGAGACCGGCCTGAGGAAGCCCCCGGGGGCGGCTGTGTTGTGTGTCCGCTCCCTTCCCGAGGAGGCTCCAGGAGGGAGGGGGGTACTGGTGGTCGCACATGCAGGGAGGAAGGACTCTCTAAGCTCCGGGCTCTGGGAGAGCACCCGCCCCTCCCGGTCCTGGTGTTGGTGCCGGGAGGGTGTGCGTGTGCCTGCGTGTGTAAGTGTGTGCGCGCGCGCCTGTGTGCCCGTGTGCGGGTATGGATTGCTTAAAAGGGTGCGGGGGGAGGGCGCTGCGGGGCTGAGGCGATCGCAAAGACCAGAGGCAGAGGAGGAGAGGGGCCCCCCCCAGTCCCAGGTGCCCCTATGAGGCGGCAGCAGTGGCGGCGGTAACAGCAGACCCCACCCCTCTCCCCGCATCTTCAGCCTGCCTGGGTGATCCTTTTGTCAGCCTCGCGCACACCCGGCGCACACTCTCTCTCTCTCTCTCTCTCTCACACACACACACACACACACACACAGAGGCGCGCGCACGTACATATACACATACACACATTCATATTCACATGCACAGACAGACTCACACATACACACACGCACCCCGCAAGCACCCCAGCAACGCTGCATCTCAGCTCGCTTGCTCCCGGCAGGGGGTGGGGGAAGGGGATGGAGACCGCCAGGACCAGGGCCAGAGCCTAGGCCCGCACCCGCGGGGAGGTGTGGGGGGCATGAGGAGCGGCGGCTTCTGCGCTCGGGGGAAAGAAACTGGGGCGGGGGAAGGAATAGGGGGCTTAGAGGCTCGAGGAGGGGAGAAAAGAAAGGGGAAGTGGGCCCAGACCCAGACAGAGACGGAGGTGGGAGGGGGGGTGGAGGAAGCGGTTCCAGGACCCGGGGCGCGGGGAGTGGGGGGTGGGGGTGTGTGTGGAACGGACGGCACCTCACCTGCCACGGTGTACCTGTCCAGGTAGTTGAGGACGTTGCCCACGCTGAGGATGGCGGCGGCCGCCACTCGCGCACGGCCCAGGCGGGCCCCCGGCTTGGGCTGCGGGCCGCCCGGGGCCGGGCCCTTGGTGGCCGTCGGAGCCCCGACCTCGGGGCAGGCGCGGACGGCGGTGGGTCCGGGCCCCGGGGGCGCCCGCTGCACGCTTCCGGACAGCGTCTGCACCTCGTCGTGGGGCCAGCAGCCGGCCCCGGCCCCGCCGCAGCGCCGGCCCCGGTTCGGCCCCCCGCCGGGCCAGCCCCGGCCCCGGCCGCGCCGATGCTGCTCCGGATCCGGCCCGGCCGCCGCCGCCGCAGCCACCGCCACCGCCACCGCTGCGTCCTCCTCCTCTTCCTCCACGCAGCCCGCTGCCCCGCCGCTGCCCGCCGCCGAGCCGCCTTCCAGGCACATCATGCCCGGCCTCCGGGGCCGTCGGGCGGGGGGCAGCCGGCAGGGGGCCGGCAGGACGCCCGGAGGCGCGGGGCGGGCAGGGGAGCCGGCCGGGAGCTCGACGGGGCGTGCCGGCCGCGGCCGAGGACGTCGGGGCCCGGGCAGGCTCAGCGCGGCTCGGGCAGCCGGGAGAGCCCCGGCGGCGGCGAAGGCGGCGGCAGCGGCAGCATGCCGCCCGGGCCCTGCCCCGCCGCGCTGCGGGATCCTCGCTCCGTCCGTGCTCTCCCGCGGTCAGGCCGGCCGGCCGTGCTCCCGTCCGTCCGTCCGTCCGCCCGCCCGCGGACAGTGCGCGGAGCCGCCGCAGCCCTAGCTGCAGCCGGAGCTCGAGCGCTGGAAGGCGGGCAGGGGGCGGGCGGGGGCGGGGGCACAGACGGCGGGCCGGGGCCGCCCCCTACGCGCACCGCGGCCAATGAGCTCCGGGCCCGGCGTCCCCGCCCCGCCCCGCCTCCCTCCCCCACGTGCCGCCCCGCCCCGCCCAGCCAGGGAGGGAAAGGGAGAGGGAAAAGGAAAAGGAGAGGGAGGGGGAGAGGGAGGGGAGGGGAGGGGAGGGGGAGGGGGGAAAGGAGGAGGGGCGGAGCGGCGCAGCTTCCCCCAGCCCCAGCCCCAGCTCTCCCCAGCCCCAGCCCCAGCTCTCCCCAGCCCCAGCTCTCCCCAGCCCCAGCTCCCCGCGGCGGCAGCGAGCACAGGCGCACCCTGCTGCCTCGCGCGGCCCAGCCTGATTCCCCCAATCTGCCTGGGCCTCTGGGACTCAACTGCGGGGTGACTCCGCAGGAGGGACAAGCGGGGTCTGCAGCCCTCCGAAGGGGGCCCTCTGGACCCCAACCTGCTCCACCCTTCCCAGTCCCAGGGTGGAAGGCCGACGCCCCCCAACGTTCTCCTGCACCAGCGCCCATGGCTGCCTCTCCGCCATTCGGGACAGGCAGGACCCCGAATGAGGCACCCTCAGCTGCCCGGCTGAGCAATTCTAAGCGCCTACCCAATCAGGACCTGCATTCATTCATCATTCATTCATTCATTCATTCACTCACTCATTCATTCATTCATCATTCATGCATTCATTCCAAGGCTAGAAATGGGAGAGTAATCAGAGCCCTGCAGCCACACGTCGGGACAGACAGACAGCCTGGAAGATCCAGCTGGGCCTCTTAGCTGGGTCCACCTGTCCTCCCACACCTAAGGCAGGCAGGCCTCTGCTCAGAGGCAGACCAGGCCTGGAAGGCCTAGCCCTCCCCTAGGCACACCCCAAAGTGAGTGTTCCTGGACCCCTCTATGCAGCCCCTGAACACCATGGACAGGCCCTAGGCCTCTTATGGGTTTGGGGTGGGTTTTATAGCTTCCTGTATGTAATGTAAGAATGTAAGCTGCTCAGGGGCAGGAATCCTGGGCTGCCAGGGCCTGGTGGGGAACCTGGCACACCGCGATGCCTGCTGTGGGCTGGTTATCTATCAGGCATCGGAAGGGAAAGTCGTTGGGGCTGGCTGGCCTCAGCTGGTCATTTGGGCAGAGCTGCCTGGGCTCCTGGGGAGGAAGGGGCCAGGCCAGTAGGGTGCCAGTGCTGGCAGGTGCCGCTGTAATGGAACCCTTTGAACTCTGACTGAGGTGGCCTGGCAGAGGTAGAGAGAGTGGGCAGCTCTGTGCCATCTGCAGAGCCCTGGCAGCAAAGACCTCCCTGCTCCCCTCACAGGCCCCTTCCTTTCCTTCGTAGCTCCCAGGCAGCCAACCAGGAAGCCTCCAGTCGGCCTGGCAGCCTCACTGGGCTCAGTGGCGTCTTAGCCGAAGCTGGGAACTTCGCAAAGACTTTTTTTTTCAATGAAAACTGATTTCCTCCAGCTAGGGAGCTCCCAAAGAGGCCCAGCCTCTCTCTAGGCAGGTCAGCAGCCCTGCTGCAGGCTGTGGTCTCAGGGAGGAGCCTGGGCTCTCTTGGTCAGGAGTAAACAGAGGACAGGCTTGAGCAGGTCTTCCTGACTCTGAGGCCAGTGTCCATCCTCTACACCACACTGCCCCTCATGGTGAAGAGGAGGAAGTATCACCGGTAGCCAAGTGCTGCCCAGCTCGCCTAACCCCAGGATTCACCTGATGCCAACATGGAGCGCAGGACAAACACAACCCCATCACTGCCCTTAGAAATGGAAGCAAACGCCCCAGCCTATCAGGAATGGGCAAATGCCAACTGCCTGCTGCCCACCTCTCGGGGTCTGGCTGCAGCAGGCTTCGCGTGGGGCAGGGGACAGAAGCGGGGCACACAAAGATGGTGCTCCTCATGGGGGAAGGGCCCTTTGGTACCCTGCAGGCACTCAGAATCCCACGGGGGATGGTAAGGCTCCAGGGAGTCTGACTTGGACCCTGACATTGTGCCCAGGCCTGGCCCCTGAGCCCACCGGGTGCTGGCCGGCCATCCCTGCACACCTACCTCTCCTGGGGGCATCAAAGGGCACCACCCTCGTCACCACCTCTCTGTGGCCCTCAGGCCAGTCAGTCTCCCTTGTCTTTTCCATTACAGGCACCATGGGGGCAGGGCCTCGGGCCAGGACCAGTCAGTGCTTGTGGAATAGTGTTGGGCTGGATGGCAGCCTCACCTCTGACCCCTTAGGCTGAGAGCCACAGGGCCCAAGGGAGGGGGCATCAGGCTTCCCCCCCCCCCCCCCCCCCCCCCCGCCCCCCCCCCCCGCCGGGCCCCGGGGGGGGGGCCCCCGCCCCCCCCCCCCCCCCCCGTGAAGCCATCACTGACTCACGATGGAGCCAGCGTGTGATGGCTCAAGGCACCAAACTGCTCTTTTAAGTCGTCTAATCCTGGCACCTGTGCTTCCTGACACCTTCACAGTGCATTTTCAGTGGTATGGGGACTAAAAATATGCCAGTGGGCATGGGCATGAATGAAAGGCAGCCCCTGACTGAGGTCGCCTGGAGACGATGGGAGAAACCGGTTACATTGCAAAAACAGCCTGGCTCCCAGCCCAGGTGTGCAGAGGGAGGGAGGGAGGGTGGAGAGCAAGGCGTTGGGGAACCTCTTCTCTTTCTCCCACCCCTCCAGCTCTGCTAATGCCCAAGGCTGGCAGCTCAGGATCCTGTAAAGCTTAGTCATTTGGTCCAGTTTGACCAGAGTCTCTTCTTCAGGGGAATGGGCATAATCTAATCCCAATCGAGGCCTTTTCTCTGGCCTGGGATGCCCTCCCTCCTCATTATTCCCTGGCTCCCCGGCTGCCTCCAAGTCCCAGCTGAAATGCTACCTTCCACAGGAAGCCTTTCTCAGTCCCCCTTTAATTCTAGCGCCTCCCTCTGGTGATGATCTCCCCCTTATCCTGCCCGTGGCTTGATTGTACCAGGTGTTTGCATGTGGTGAGCTCCCTGAGGGCAGGGCTTGTCTCTGGCTTTTCTTTGCATCCCCAGGGCTGCAGAGAGCCCTCTGCTTCCCCTGGGCCCAGAGCCCCTGAAGCAAGGGCCACCATCAAGTGCACATGCAGCAGCCCCCTGTCCCTCACCCAAAGGAGTCAGGGTCCCGGTCCCAGGGTCACTGTCCCTTGGGCTCCTCAGGTGGGCGCTTCAGGCATGTGGGAGCCACAGACCCACAAAGCAGGACCCTCGAAGGGGCTGGCCTGCTCGGTTCAGGGTCTGAAAGCCATCCTGCTATCCGCCTGAGGAAGGAGAGGTCAGAAGCAGCACTCACTTGCCTTCCTCTCTTCAACTGAATCTGAGGGATGAGGGTCCAACGGCTGCTGCTCAACACTGGGACTCTGAGTCTTGGCAGCCTCTCTGAACCCCCACTCCCTTTCATCATGCATGATAAATATTCTGCTGCATTCACCTCCCATGCTCTGCTTTGCCATTGTCTAGTGGGTGGGCACCCGCGTCATCCGGAGTCCTTGGGAAAGGGTGGGTGCTGCTCTAAGGACCTCTGTACTTGTGGCCTCTCTGGGGTCTGTGCCGCATGATGGCATCGCTGATTCAATTCGGGGACCTCGGGGGCGAGCTTCCAAGGGGTTTCCAGAATGGCTGGACCCCTTCGTGACCCCAGCAGCAGTGCGTCTGTGGCCTGTTTTCACTAGCCTCGCCAACAACTGGCATTTTTGGTGGGATCGTTTTTGTCATCTTTGTCAGTCTGATGGGTGGGTGCAGTGGAGAACCTTAGAGGTGGTTTAACGGGCATTTCTCTTTTTATTAGCAATTTGTAGCATTTATTAGTGTGGTTGTTAATAACTTCCATTTCCTGAGTACTGTCCATGTCCTCTGACCATTTATCCACTGGGGAACAGTGGATAAATACCTTACCTATGTGAATCAGCTCCCTGTCTAGCTGGGATCTCAGACCCTGACTGGAGAATCTGACTGCTGAGATACACTGCCCCAGTTAATCATTTCCCTTCTGATTTTAACTACATCGCCTGTACAAAGATGATTCAATTTGCATAACCATGGCTGCCTGTCTTCTGTGATCCTCCTATCCCTTGTTCATCAAGAGCTTTTCCCTTGGCCGTTGTGCCTAGGATGGGGTGTGGAACCTGCAGCCTCGAGGCCATACGTGGTCCTCTAGGTCCTCAAGTGCAGCCCTTGGACTGAGTCCAAAGGTCACAGAACAAATCCTAGGATCTCAGACCTGCACCCTGGGGACCACTGATGAGTTTATGAAGTGACTCTTTATAGTTAGATTCTGCATCTCTCTTTTTTTTTATTAAATTATTTTGGTTTATCAACAATCACTTACATAAGCTCTTGAGTTTTAAATTTTTCTCCCCCTTCCTCCCCAAGAAGGCACGCAATCTGATATAGGCTATACATATACATTCCTATTAAACATATTTTCACATTAGTGATGTTGTAAGGAAGAATTAGAACCAATAGGAGGAACCACCAGAAAGAGGAAACAAAATTCAACAGAAGAAAAAAAAATAGCAAATAGTCTACTTCAATGTGCATTCAAACTCCACAGTTCTTTCCTTGGATGTGGATAGCATTTTCCATCACGAGGC